ACACCACCCTTATGGCAGAAAGTGAAGAGAAACTGAAGAGCCTCTTGATGAAAGTGAAAGAGGAGAGTTAAAAAGTTGGCTTAAAGCTCAAAATTCAGAAAGCTAAGATCATGGCATCTGGTCCCATCACTTCACGGCAAATAGATGGTGAAACAATGGAAACAGTGACAGACTGTATTTTCTTGGGCTCCAAAACCACTGCAGAAGGTGACCACAGTCATGCAATTAAAAGACACTTGTTCCTTGGAAGAAAAGCTATGACCAAACTAGACAGCATATAAATAGCAGAGACATTACTTTGCCAACAAAGGTCTGTCTAGTCAAGGCTATGGTTTTTCCAGTAGTCATGTATGGATGTGAGAGTTGGACTATAAAGAAAACTGAGTGCCAAAGAATTGATGCTTTTGAACTGTGGTATTGGAGAAGACTCTTGAGAGTCCCTTGGACTGCAAGGAGATCCAACCAGTCCATCCTAAAGGAAATCAGTCCTGAATATTCATTCAAAGGACTGATGTAGAAGCTGAAACTCCAATACTTTGGCCACCTGATGTGAAGAACTGACTCATTGGAAAATACTCTGAGGCTGGGAAAGATTGAAGGCAGGAGGAGAAGGGGACGACAGAGGTTGAGACGGTTGGATGGCATCACCGACTTGAAGGACATGAATTTGAGCAAGCTCCGGGAGATGGTGAAGGACAGGGAAGCCTGGTGTGTTGCAGCCCATGGAGTCGCAAAGAGTTGGACATGACTGAGTGACTGAACTGAAATGAACTGGACTTTCAAGGTACTGTATTATAAGATTTAAAATGTTTTCCATATTTTTTGTGTTTGTTTTTATGCATTATTTGTGTGAAAATTGTTATAAACCTGTTACAATATAGTACTATACAGATATTGTGTTATTTGAATACCTAGGTTAACAAATTGGACTTATGAACACACTCTTAGAGCAAAATTCATTCATATGTAGGGACTTACAGTATCTGAAAAACAGCTCAAAGACAATGTTATTGCTTGAGGGGAGAACCAGGACTCCTGCCCCAAGGCTTCACTATGGTCCAGTTACATTTTATTTATATATTTTTGGTTGTGCTGGGTCTTGGCTGCTGCACTCGGGCTTTCTCTAGCTGTGATGATGGGGGGCTACTCTTTGTCGCGGAGCATGGGCTTCTCATTGTCATGGCTTCTCTTGCTCTGGACAACAGGCTCTAGGCATGCAGGCCGCAGTAGTTGCAGACGCAGGCTCAGTAGTTGTGATGTAGTTGCTCCATGGCAAGAGGATCCTCCCGGACCAGGGATCGAACCTGTGTCCCCTGCATTGGCAGGTGGATTCTCATCCACTGTGCCACTGGGAAGTCCTAGATATATTTTAAAACAGAGGACAGCCTTAAGTCCCCAATTCCTTATCTAGGAAAAGGCACTGGTTGTGATGGGGAGGATCCCAAGTGGGGAGGACCTCTGTCTGATGTCCCACAACTCCACCAACCTTCAGAGCTAAACTCAAGGAAGGGACCACTAAGATAGAATGAGCCTCCACCAGGTGAGCCTGGGAAAAACACACCTCTAACTAGTGGTGTGCTGCAGCCAGTTCATGCCAGCACAGGGGAGCTGATTGCTAAACTTTCATGAATTTCTTGAGCCAAGTTGTTAAACTGTTGGTAGCTTGAAACCAGCCATGGCAGAGAGTCTTACATGACAAAACTCTGCACATGCTACAAGTTCGGGGCGGAGGAATCATGACTCCCCCCCACCCCCGCCGCCACCTGCTAACCCCAGCCATTAAACATTCTGTGTACACCACTGCATCTAACTCCATATCTGTTGCTCCATTCCCACTGGAAAGGGAGGAAAGGAGCTGTTCCAGGTTGAATATCAGTAGGAAATGGCAATACACTCCAGTAATCTTGCCTGGGAAATCCCTCGAACCGAGGAGCCTGGCAGGCTCCAGTCCATGGGGTTGCAAAGAGTCAGACATGACTTAGTGATTAAACAACAACACTCCATCTCCAGGGCGACCAGCAGAGGCCAGGACAGGGCTTCTGTCAATCTCTCCATCACACCCCCTCTCCCAACAATATATACCAGATCTCTAAACACCCTCTACCAAGGTGACGGATCGCTTGGTCATTTCCCTTCCTGAGATGTTCCCAGGGCCCATGCCCCAGCCTGGATCAACCTGTTCCCCTAGATGCCTTCGGCAGGAGCTGCTAGATTTGGTAGCACCTAAGGTCTACCTAAGTAGACCCTAACTACGGCCACATCAAGGGAGCAGTCATACCCTGATCTTCATGTGGTCGGATGGGAAGGAATTTCCATTGGCTGCCCCAGTGGGAAAAGAATAAAACATCTGGGTCCTCTCTGATAGGTGAACTTGGAAAAAAGAACCAAGGGTACCCAGCTCAGCCCCCTTTCCTGTCTTCTCCTGGCTCTGCCCACCACAAAGCAGGCACCCTGGACTAGCAGGCAGGTGGTGAGGCTGCAAAGCCACACACACCCTCCTACCCAGCTCCAGTCAGAAGCAACACTCATGGATAAACAACACAGTCCTAGAGACTTAACTTGGTCCAGTGGTTAGGACTCCATGCTTCCATTGCTGGGGGCACAGGTTTGATCCCTGGTCGGGGAACTAAGATCTCACAAGCTGTGAGGTGTGGCCAGAAAAGAAAAAAAAAAAAAAACAACAACTCAACAAGGTCCTATTGCATAGCACAGGGAACTATACTCAATGGGTACTAAGCTGCTTCAGTCCTATCTGATTCTGTGACCCTATGGACTGCCGCCCACCAGCTTCCTCTGCCCATGGGATTCTCCAGGCAAGAATACTGGAGTGGGTTGCCATGCCCTCCTCCACAGGGTCTTCCTAACCCAGGGATCAAACCAGCATCTCTTATGTCTCCTGCATTGGCAGGTAGATTCTTTACCACTGAGCCACCTGGGAAGTCCATTATATTCAATGTCCTGGGATAAACCATAGTGGAAAAACATATAAAAAAGAATGTATAAGGATTCCCCTGGTGGTCCAGTGGTTAAGACACCCTGCTTCTGAGAGAGTTAAAGCTTAGGGCCCTTTAAAGAGGAGGCCAACACTCTCGCTCATGCTTTCCTTAAGCCTTGTGCAACAATGTATTTTGCCTGAGAACTGGCCTTTTTTTAGGTCTGGAACCAATGACTGCACAATGTCTTACTCATGGAAATGCTTTTTGTAGACTCTACCAATAATTATAATTGTAACAAATCTTGCCTGGGAACCTGCTTCTCAAGACTTGTAGCCCTGATGACACAGCAATAGTATATCTCGACTGGAGACATTGGCCGGGACCATTCCCCCTGGCTAATCTTGTGCCAAAGTTATCACAAGATGTATGCCTTGGGAAAGGGTATGGTGAAACTTTTACAAACCTTGAGGTATTATTTTTATTTATTTCCACTAGCTGGCAGAAGAGTATATAATGCCCTGCCCAAACTAGCAAGCCAGGTATTCTCCTGCCCCTTTCTGATGTCTATGTCAGAAGCTTTTTCTGTCACTTTCACTTCGAATAAAAATCTACACAAAGCTCTGAGTGACTTTTGGTCTGGAGTTAAATCTCCTTTAGGGACCACAAATCTGGCAACACCATTCACTGTAATCTTCTTTCACTTCCACTACAGGGGGCACAGGTTTGACCCCTGGTTGGGAAACTAAGATCACACATGCCATGTTGCCAAAAAAAAAAAAAAAAGGATATACATACATATATGTATAACTGAGTCATGAGTCACTTTGCTGTATGGCAGAAATGAACACAACATTGTAAATCAACTCTACTTCAAAAAAAAAACAAAACACCTCATTTCAAGGGTAGGCATTTAGGATCGCTATCTGTCTGCCACCTGCATCTTTCAAGTGGTTCAGACTCAAAAGGCAGGAAAACGAGTTGCTACTTACTGAACCCCTAAAACCAAAGCCACCTGTGAGGCCCTTCCAACGTCTCCCCATCATGTCTGATTTCACTTTCTATTGTTCACCCCTTGTTCCCTCGGCCACTCGGACCTTCTTCCCATCCTCAGAAAATGCCAAGTTTATTATTTCCATCTTAGGTCTTTGCTTTTTTTGTCTTTCCTAGTGCTCCCCAGGGCTGGTTCCTCATTGCCTCCCAGGTTTCCCCTCAGAGAAGCCCACCCTGCCTACCCAACCAAACACATGTGCGTCCATTATGTGGCCCTAGTTTATTAGCTCAGTCTCTAAAACTATTCCATGCATGTGTTCACCTGTTGATCACCCTGCCTTCTTCCTTGTGTGTGTTTCATTCATTGCTGTGGTCCCAGTGCCTAGAATAGTCCCTGCAAAATAGCTTAAGACACATTTGTTGAATAAATAAACCAAACGCTTAAAAAAAAAAAGATTATTTGTCTTTAATAGCAAAATCACACTATGGAAAATTGGGAAAATACAAAATACAGAAAGGACAGCTCCGAATCTTTACGAACATTTTGATCATCAAAGCATGAGTTGTACCTGCCCTCCTTTCCGTGTCTCCTGTGTGCATGTAGGGCTGTCAGTGTCTGCGTGTCAATGACATGTTAGTGTGCAGGTGTGCATGCATAGATAGCCCTTCCTGGCTTCCTAAGGGGTCTCGGCCCCTCAGGTCTCCCTAACTCCTAATCTGCCCTTCCGCACCATCCTGTTCCTGAGAACAGCTCTTCATGGAGGGCCTTTGGTGGGCCCGGGGGTGGTAAACATTAAGGCTCTGCAAGGTAACCATGAGGTAGCTGTGGTCTTCTTCATTTCCAGATGTGAGGATAGGGCCTCCGAGAGGCTGGCTCATGTTACAGAGGCCATACAGCTGGTGAACCACGATTCCAATGACCTAAAGATGCCAAGGCCTGGGTTCTCTCTACCCGTGGTCTTCAGGCTGCTCCAACCTGATTACTTGCCTACTGGCAAGGTGCTGCCCAGAGGGTCCAGATCTCATTAATGAAAGTTAAGAGGGGGGTCCCTGGGTCGGGGGTTGGGGGTGCAGTCACATCCACCAGTCCATGGACTCTTTGGGCAAGGCCCTGACAATGACCATACAGTGGGGTAGCCCCTTAGACAAGATTCTTTCTGCCTCCTGACCCTCCCAGCCCAGTCCCTGCAGCTCAAGGACCCTGAGCTTGGGCATGGTGAGGCAGGAGGCGAGGATCTCCTGCGGGGAAGGCATTTCCGGGGTAACAAGCGGCCCCAGCAGGCACAGACTCTCCAGGGCTGGCATGCCCTCCAGGACAGATAGGCCAGGGGCCGAGAGGCCCCGTACGGTCAGCCGGATCTTACGCACGTCTCGGAGGTGGCGGCTGATGGCCAGGAGGGTGCTGTCGGCCGAGAGGGTACAGCCCAGCACCTCCAGCCTCTGCAGATAGTTCAGCTCCTGCAGGCCCATATCCAGCCCGGTCTCGGTCACCCGGTAAGTGCCGCCCAGCACCAGCGAGCGCAGGGCGCGGAAGCGTGTGAGGCCCTGCAGGTGCTCGTCGCGGAAGGCGGGGACGCGGTCCAGCACGATGCGCTCCAGCAGGGGCAGCACCGTGGGGTCCTGCTCTTTATGGAGCCAGGCCATGGAGATCTCACAGCTGTGCAGCTCCAGGGTCCGCAGGGTGCAGGGCAGGCTGGCGATGGGCACCATGCTCAGGTTGGCCACGTGCAGGCAGAGGCGCTGGAGGTTGGGGCACTTCTGACCCAGGGCCCTCATCAGGGCAGGGGACAGCTGGGGAGCCTGGGAGCCTGAGAACAGGTAGCCGCCCATCCGCAGGGAATGGAGCCTGGATGCCATGTACCGGCGGAGAAGGTGCCACATGACTTTGGGCCGCATCTGTAAGAGCCAGAGGTGGGAGGGTGTCTGGACCAGAGATATGGAGCATCTTGCAGGGACCCCGCCTGCCTGGAGACAGACAAGCCCCAGCTGGGGTTCTGAGGCTCCCTGGGAATTCTGTCCTTCCCTCCCCAGCCTCACTCAACCAGATGCCTTTCCAGGAGTAACAGGATGGTTTAACCCCACCATTTTGACCTCTAAGTTTGAACAAAAGCAATGGTGGATATCATCATAATATATCTGTCTTTACCAGGACAGTGAGTCTCATTACTTTCTGGAATAAGTAAGAAAGTGAAACAACAACAAAAAGCCTGTTTCTAAACCTTTCAACTCCTTGCACAATGAAAACCACTGTGATCTATATATATACCCTAGGAAAATGTTACTACTGTCTAATTTATGAAGTAATACTATTGACTCCAGGTTTAATAAAATTTTATATCTTTTTAAGATTTTTTCTTAAAAGTGTATCCACCCAGCAATATTTTTATCTCTTTCTTTTTCTTTTTTTGGCATCCCATGTGGTATGTGGGATCTTAGTTCACCAACCAGGGATCAAACCCTCGCCTCCTGCAGTGGAAGTCTGGAGTCTTAACCACTGAACCACCAAGGAAATGCCTATCCCATTCTTAATGACCACCTCCTCATAGAAATGAGCAACACAAAATAAAAACTGAAAAAGGTTAAAACTGCCCAGGGTAAATTAGATCTAGGTTTAAAAAAAAAAAAAAATCATAGCTTAGTAATAGTGAAAGCTGCAAAATTTAACTCTGGGAAGTTAGACTTGTAGAAAACAAACAAACTATAACTAACTAGTATTTCATGTATTTTATTGTATGTACAGTTTACCTTTAAAAAAAAAAAAGCAGAAAAAAGAAATTGCATACCATAGAATTTGTTGACTTGTTTTGGTAAATATGAATTTTTTATTAGCAAAATCTATGACCAGGCAAGACAATAGTCTGCTGTCTCTCAGCTACTCCTTTTCTGTTGGGTTCCTGGTATTCCTAATCCTTTTGTTCCTAAATTCATGTTTTTCACACTTTCATTGAAATATAGTTGATTTACAGTATGTTATAATGTATTAGTTTTGGTGCAGAGAGAAGTGATTCAGTGATTGCTATTTTGGTGTACAGCAATATATATATTATATATATACATGTATATATATAATATATATGTAAAAGTGAAAGAGTTAATCACTCAGTCATGTCTGACTCTTTGTGACTCCATGGACTGTCACCCACCGGCTCCTCTGTCCATGGAGTTCTCTAGGCAAGAATACTAGAGTGGGTAGTCATTCCCTTCTCCAGGAGACCTTTCTGACCAGGGATCAAATCCAGATCTTCTGAATTTCAGGCAGATTCTTTATCATCTGAGCCACCAGGTAAGTCCATATGTATATATATATATATATATATATATATGGGTGAAAAAAAAAAATATATATATATGGCTGGATATATATATATTTTTTACATTCTATTCCATTTTAGGTTATTACAAGATATTGCGTATTGCTCCCTGTGCTATACAGTAGGTCCTTGTTGGTTATCTATTTTCTATATAGTAGTATGTATATTTTAATCTCAAACTCCTAATTTATCCCTCCCCCCTGTTAACTACTCTTGACAGAGGAATCAAATCTTAATGATCAAATTTAGACCTGCAAATTTGGGCTGAGGAAAGGGACTCACTAGAAACACTGGCTACTAAAAGGTAACTCACAAGAGTGGAAGCCACTGTTGGCAAAATATCAAATGGCCGCAAAGCCAGAAGTTGAGTCATTTTTACTTTTAAAAAGACAAAATCAGAAAATCCTTTAAGTTTCATGATATCAAACACTAGCCAGGATGTGGAGAAGCAGTTCTTGGGTCCTGCTGGTGGGACTTGGTCTGGCTACTTTGAAATGCAATCTGGTTTTTACTGAAATTTAAAATATGGACACCCACTGGCACCTGTTCTGTTTTTAAAAATACGGGACTATCTACTGCCTTTCTGGGAAAGAACAAGGTGACTTGGGTGACAGAAGCAGGGAGAGACCTTACTTTCCAATGTTTATAATTTTGTACATTTTCAATCCTGTGCATTTATCTTTGGCTCCTCCCTCACTTATGTTTTTTAAACGAATTCTTTAGCTGGTTTAAATGAACACACTGCCTAACCTAGTAATACCTGTTTTGTGGAATTTACCTTACAGAAACGTTGGTTTCTGACATCCTGGTTTTAACAGCAAAAATGTCCAGTGATAACAGCCATGTAGATAGCAACTAAGAACAAAGAGGATTCAAAGATTCAAACATGGGTAACTCCTCAAGACATGCAGGAAGGAGTGGTAAAAGGATACCTTCAAGGTTAAAGAAAAAAGAAACAATAGTATTTTTGTTGTTTAGCTGCTAAGTCATGTCTGATTCTTTTGTTACCCCATGGACTGTAGCCCGACAGGCTCCTCAGTCCAAGGGATTCTCCAGGCAAGAATACTGGAGTGGGTTGCCATTTCCTTCTCCAAGGGATCTTCCTGACCCAGGGATTGAACTGGCGTCTCTTATGTCGCCTGCACTAGCAGGCAGATTTTTTTACCACTAGCCCCACCTGGGAAGACTATTATACATATATATTATAATTTATATGGGTACAATTATTTCAACCATAATGGTTAACTTGTATTGAGCAACTACTGTTTGCCAAATGCAGTGCTGAGCATTGAACTAGAAAGACCTTGCACAGCAGGTCTCCGTCCCCACCCCCACCCCCTCACCTGAAAAAATGCATTGGCCGAATCTTACTGCACGAGTACAACTATGATTCAACACAGCCTGACCCCAAAGGCCAATCCTGCTCTTGTGACCACTGCCCTTTCTTTCCCTATAAAGCCCCAAGGGTCCAAAAGCATAGAAAATGCTATAGAAGGAAATTCCACATAATAGTGGTTATTCTGGGGAAGGGTAGAGATACCAGGGGGTGACTGTCAAAGGCTCTTAGCTTCATTTGTGACAATATTTCAATGTTTTTTTGGTTTTGTTTTGTCTTAATTTAGATATAATTAACATATAACACTATATTAGTTTCAGGCATACAACGTAATGATTGTATGTATGATGACATGATCATCACAATAAGTCTAGTTAATAACCATCACCATACATAGTTATACCACTTCCACATTTTTGTAAGAATTATTCATGATGTGTGATTTTTAAAAATTAAACCTCAAAAAGAGAAATGTAAAACAAATGTCCTAGTTAATCTCTATTATGTGTACTAAAGTGTTTTAGAAGTGGACTCATCTGCAACTGATTTTGAAGCATACTTAAAAAATAAAATAGGAAAACAAAATAAATAAAAATTTAAAAAATAAAATAAAAGTTTTATAGAAAGAGGGATGGATGAAGAGATGATAAAACAAATGTATTAAGTATTAGTGGTGGGCAACTCCGTGTTCTTGGTACTGTTGTTTTAACTATTATGTACGTTTGAAAGTTTTCATAATAAAATAGTCTGGTGGCTTGGAGGTAAAGAATCCGCCTGTTAATACACTGGGTAGAGAAGATCCCCCGGAGGAGGAAATGGCAACCCACTCTAGTATCCTTGCCTGGGAAAATCCCATGGACAGAGGAGCCTGGAGGGCTACAGTCCGTGGGGTTGCAAAAAGCTGGACACAAGTGAGTGACCAACACCAACCTAACACCAACAGGTGATTCATATGCAGGTGATTCAACAGGTGATTCAACAGGTGATTCTCAAACAATAAAGTTTGAGACACGGTCTTACAAAGCTGTTTGTGATAGTAGAAAGTTGGAAATAATCTAACCATCTGTCAACAGGAAAATAAAGAAACTGTGGTATATTCATTTAACAGCAATTAAAAGGAATGAGTTAGATTTACAAGTACTAATTAGAATAAATCTCAAAAGTTATGTGTGAATAAAGTTGTTTATGGGTGGATATATTAATATAAGTAAAATAGCACTTTATTATCTAAAAAGTAGAAGAGTTTTATCTCAATTTTAGAAACACATTAACAATACTGTATATTGCTTATAAATACACACATAGGCAGTAAATAAAAACATGAAGGGATACAAATCCACTTTATAGTCCCAGTTATCTCTGAGGAGGGTTTCAAAAGTGCAAGAAACATATGTGCAAATGTTGTATGCATGTTTGTATGGAAACATTTGTATGTGTATTTCACAGGATCTGCAGTGAATAAGGCCAAAGGTTTAAAAAGATTAAATCTAGGTGGTAAGTACATAGTTTCAGATATTATCCTCTATACCTTTCTATATCTATTTGAAATAGTTCATAATAAAAAGAAAAATGTAAAGGGCCAATTCATTGGAAAAGACCTGATGCTGGGAAAGACTGAAGGCAAAAGGAGAAGGGGGCAGAAGAGGATGAGACGGTTAGAGAGCATCACTAACTCAAAGGACATGAATTTGAGCAGACTCCGAGAGACAGCGAAGGACAGGGGAGCCTGGTGTGCTGCAGCCCATAGGGTCGCAAACAGTCGGGCAACTTAGCGACTGAAAAACAAATAAAGCCCAAGCGGGAGAAAGTTGAAATGATTTGGTTGACTACTCAGGAGATTAATTCTAGAACTAAGTTGACCCTATAGAAAATTTCTCCAGGAAAATTCATCAATAAGCTCTTTTCCTGCAAGACCTTGGTTATACCCATTCTGGAGATGGGGAAGCTGAGGCCTGGAGGTCACTGCAGAGCAAGTAAGGGACGCGGGCGGGACGCACCCGGGAGAGCCTCGCTCGAAACACAGGGTTGGAGGCGTGGTCCTCGAAGTCTGACCAACCCGACCTCGGCCCAGGACTGCCCGGCCAGACCCGCATACCGTGTAGAGCGTCAGGTCGACGTGTCGCCACAGCCACCGGTCGTCCACCAGCTTCTTCCAGTGGTGACAGACCCTGGGGGAGGGGACCCGCTGTTAGAACCACCCCGACTCCGCGAGGACCAGATGTGCATCTCCTGGTGCGCCCCCCGCCTGGCCCTTCCCTCCCGCAGGGGGCGGCCGCACCTGGAGATTCGGATCCGATCCCGGACCGGGAGGTAAGAGAAGATCTCTAGCAGGACCGAGTCGGGCAAGTCGGCAAAAGTCGCCATGATCCCGTTCACACGCACTTCCGCTTCCGTCTAAAGGAACTCGGGGACTCGCTCTGTGGGAGCCCTAAGAAGCGGGGGGAAGAGAGGGTGCGTACAGGGAGGTGGTCGCAGCTTCCGGTAGCTGGCGGAGTTTCGGCTTTCCTCTTGAGGGGATATGGCTGGACCTGGGAGCCAGACCAGCACGGTATCAGAACTCTGCACAGAGGATTGGGACGGGGCCTGGGACCTAGCCCGGGAGGCGTGGCTAAGGCAATGACGAAGTCCAGGGCGGGGTTAAGGGTGGGAACAAGAGTCGGGGGCGTGGCCGGAGAGGCGGGCCAAACACAAAAGGCGCGGCTCGGAAGTTGTTGAGGCCTGGGGCGGGGTTAAGGGCGGGAACGAGACTGGGGGCGTGGCTGGAGAGTAGGACCAAGCTCCTGCGTGAGTGGGATCCCTAAACGGCGGGATTGAGTGCGGGACCAAAAGCGGAGCGCTAGGTGGAGAGGGAAGTCCCTTTTTTTTTTTTTTAAACTTAATAGTGCTTTTTTGTGCATGAGAATACATTAGTAGAAGTGAAATAGCTTGTTAAAAGACACTGAATTTTTTACTTTTACTGATGGCGCCAAATTGTTCTCCACAGAGCCTGAATTGACACTTCCTCCACATATATAACACTCATTTTTAAAAATGCCAAGTCATAAGGGTAGTGAAATTTATTCAAACACTCCTGTATTGATGAGTATTCAGCTTGCTTCCAGGTAAGCTAAACAATACTGGAGTTAAACATTCTTTTATATACATATATTAGTTCAGTTCAGTTCAGTGGCTCAGTCGTGTCTGATTCTTTGCGACCCCCATGGACTGCAGCTCGCCAGGCTTCCCTGTTCATCACCAACTCCCGGACTTTGCGCAAATTCATGTCCATCGAGTTGATGATGCCATCTAACCACCTCATCTTGTTGTCCCCTTCTCCTCCTGCCTTCAATCTCTCCTAGCATCAGGGTCTTTTCCAATGAGTCAGTTCTTTGCATCAGGTGACCAAAGTATATATACATACATATATAACATATACTAAGATCCCACAAGCTGTACAGCATGGCAAGACAAACAAAATCCCCAACAAACAAACAAAAAACCGTGTATTGCCATTATAGGCTCTTGAAAGTGTGATTTGGCAAAAGCTATTCAAAATTAAACTTCACATGTCCTTTGACACATCAATCCAATTCCTGGTTTTATTTATCAAATAGAAATAAATTGTATTTCTAATAGAAACATAGAAAGTATATATTACACACACACACACACACATATATATATATATATAATAGCTTTTGCTAAATCACACTCCCAAGAACCTATAATGGTAATACATGGTTTTTGTTTATTTGTTGGGGGCTTTGTTGTTTTTCCATGCTGTGTAGCTTGTGGGATCTTAGTTCCCTAAGCAGGGACTGAAGCCAGACCCCTGCAGCAAAAGTGCTGAGTGGACCACCAGGGAATTCCCTGGCAAAATATGTTTTTAATACATGCACACACAGAAGAAATTGTGTATGAAATGCAAAACTGGGACTTCCCTGGTCGTCTAATGGTTGACGTGGTGGCCCACTGGACTCTGGTAGTCCAGGGGTTTCTGGTTTCCGCGTCTTAACAGGTGACTACCACAGTGTTTTACTTTTTATGTATTTATTTATGGATAAGTGAAAGCAATATAGGTTTTTTAAGCTTTATTCAGATATAGTTGATAGTTGCAGAAATTTAACACCTACATCTAAGAGTTTGCTTTTTTAAATTTTCTTTTGGCCAGCTGTACAGTGCATGTGGGATCTTAATTCCCCCACCAGGGATCCTGCAAATGTCATGTTGCTTGCTAGGGCCTCAAGTCCAGATTTTTCTGATGCCAGAGTGTGGGCCTCTATCTCAGTCCTCTCTGGCTGTGATTCTCTCTAGAAAGCCCATGGCATCATGAAGGGGCAATGCCTCTGTCAGTTACACAGGTGTCCTAGGAACCATCTCCTCCCCATCAAGCAAACAGGAGTGGAAGGATGGGCACCCCCACATAGAAGCCCTTTCCTCTGGGTCAGAAATTTAGGTAATAAGGGGCAGAGGGGCCCTGCCCAGCTTGAGCCTTGAGTTGTGACTCAGAACTCTCCTTCCTAGGAAGAACCTAGCTCCTCCCAGTAGCAGATGACAGCAGATCCTTTTGAGGCCCAGATGGGAGCATGGGGCTGTCCTGACCCCCAGTGGGCAGGTATTGAGTCTCTTCATGAGAAGTTCTGAATGACATTTATAGGAAATAGAGAAGTCTCTAATGTTAGTCTGGAGAAGGAAATGACAACCCATTCTAGTATTCTTCCCTGGAAAATCCAATGGACGGAGGAGCCTGGCAGGCTGCAGTCCATGGGGTCGCTAAGAGTCGGACTCGACTGAGCAACTTCACTTTCACTTTTCACTTTCATGCACTGGAGAAGGAAATGGCAACCCACTCCAGTGTTTTTGCCTGGAGAATCCCAGGGATGGGGGAGCCTGGTGGGCTGCCGTCTATGGGGTCGCGCAGAGTCGGACACAACTAAAGCAACTTAGCAGCAGCAGCAGCTCTAATGTGAATTGTCCTGTCTCCTAAGGCCTTTCCCCCTCCCACCCAGCTCTGGAGGAGAGAGTCCTTGCAGCAGTGGCAGCCTAGTCCTGGGACTTCCCATGGCCCATTCCCTCCACTTCCTCAGAATGCCTTAGCCCAGTTGGGACTGGCAGGCCCCCAGTAGATCCCCAAGTTCCCAACAACCCCAGGCTTTATTTCTCTCCCCTTGCAGCAGCACTCTTCACCCCTTTTCAATCTCCCCCAGCCCATAAGCTCAGCAACACAATCTTGTGCTTTAGTTATCTTTTCTATAATTAAAAAAAATTTTTTTTAATTTGTGGGGTTTCTTTTGAGGAGAGGGAGTTCTTTCTTTCTTTCTTTTTCTGTGTTGCATGGCTTTCAGGATCTTAGTTCTGCAGCCAAGGACAGAACCCAGGCCTTAGGCAGTGAGAGAGTAGAGTCCTAACCACTGGACCACCAGGGAATTGCCTAGCTACCTTTGAATCAAACATAAAAAATGAGTGAGAACTTTTTTTTTTTAATAACACTTAACTTCCCTGGTGGTCCAATAGTTAAAGACTTTGTGCTTCCACTGCATTGGGCATGGGTTCAATCCCTGGTCAGGATGCTAAGATTGAATATGCTGTGTGGTACGGCAAAAAAAAAAAAAACCCAAAATTTCTTCTGGGACTTCCCTGGAGGTCTAGTGGTTAAAAATCTGCCTTGCAATGCAGGGGACCGGGGTTCAATCCCTGGTCCGGGAACAAAGATCCCACATATGGCAACTAGGACCCCATGCAGCCAAAGCAATCAATAAATATTTTTTAAAACTTTATTTTCCCCCTCATTACAAGAGTAACATATGTTCATTGTCGATAACTGGGAAAACACCAAAAGCACCAAAAAGAGGAATATGGACTCAGCAATTCCGCTGTCTAGTGGTCAACACCATCAATGCCTGGTGTGACCTAGTTTTTCTATGCGAATGCAAAGATGTGCTCTTTCTAAACTTCCCCAGGCACATCAGTCCCTTCAAGCTTACCCCTTACCTTCCATCTCCCTTCTTGCCCCACCTATTCTTCCGGATAAGGAAAAGAAGAATCAGAGAGGGGAAGTGTTGAGATCATGTGTGTGCATGTTTGCATGCTAAGCCGCTTCAGTCGTGTCTGACTCTTTGCAACTTCATGGACTGTAGCCCACCAGGCTCCTCTGTCCATGGGATTCTCCAAGCAAGAATACTGGAATGGGTTGCTATTTCCTTTCTCCAGGGGATCTTCCCAACCCAGGCAGGTGTATTCTTTACCACTAGCGCCATCTGGGAAGCCCGTTGAGACCATGCAGCTTAATATTAAGGAATGAGGCTGAGGTTTCGATTCATCATCTGGACCTGTGTCTGCAATCTGAATAAACTATCCATTAAGATTCCCTGCCCTCTGAAGCTCACTCACTGGGATTCTGCAGAGATTGGAGAAATAACAGATTTCTGCCCTGAGGCAGAAAAAAGAAAAAGTCCTGAGGCAGGAAGGCCCCTGAGTCTAGTGTTTGGGGTGGTACTTCTTGAGCCAGTTCCTTAAGTCAGAGCAGCCCCGACAGGGTCGCAGAGCATTCCTTTCCCCAGGAAGGTATCGCACGTCTTCTGCCTAATCTCACATCCTATTTTGAGAAGGTGGATTGGGTGAATCAGAGGTTGCTGGCCCCTTTTCAGAATGAATCCTTTTAGGCTCGTCAAACTAGGAGAATCCTGTCTGCTGAGAAGAAACCGTTCAATAGTGAGTTCGACAGGCAGGTTGTACTTAGGAAGGGGTGTTCCCTGTCCCACCAGCCCTGGGGAACCAGATCAGTCCAGGGGCTGCTCTGGGGCTGAAAAGCAAGCTTGGGATTTGATACACAGTGCCCTCTGCAGGGCAGGAGCGACCTTCCTTGAAGACGAAGACCTGGGAGCTGTTGCACGTGTGCTGTTTTCCAGCTTCCTCATCAGTGCTGCATTCTGATAAGTGCTGAACTCCATTCTGGAGTGCTGGTATCCAGGCCAGAATCAGAAGACTCCTTACTTACTGATTGTAGTCAGCACCTCAGATGTCCCTGGGGGCAGGCGAGATAGCCAGAGGGAGGGATGAGCAAAACGCTTCCGGGGTCCAGCCCTGAATGAAGGCGGGGGGGGGGGGGGGCGCGGGGGGCGGATAGTACAACTGCAGGACTTGATCCAGGCTCCCCGTAGCCCTGAAGTTGCTGTTAGAGGCTTCGTCGGGCTCCGGAACAGGAGGTCAACCCTGTTCTCCCGGGATGTGCCTGGGCGTCCCCACCAGATGCTACACTAGACGGTGTCTCGGCACAACGAAGGGCCTTCAACCAGGCTCTCCGAAAGGTTGGGCGCCAGTCCAAGACCTCTGACACTCCACTCCTCTCCCTAGCCGGGACCCTCACTTGGGCCCAACGCTCCGTT